GGGCCTCGGTCGCTTCAGCCGCGCCCTGCAAAGTGGCCGGCTGCCGCGAACCACCTGGAGCGCCTCTAAGCACAACCGCGCGCTTGCCAAATGCTGGATCAGTCGCGCTCGCGTCGGTAGCAGCTGGAAAGATAAGTTGCCCAGCCTGGCTCAGACAAGTGCTCTGAGGACAAATGCTCGCCAACAGAGCGCCAGCGAACGTCGTGCCAGTGGCAGCTTCGCGATGAAAGAGAACGCGGCAAGTGCATGTTTGGGCCAAAGTACGGTGGCGTGATGTTCAGACCGAGCCTCCTGGAATAATTCGGTAGCACCATCTGAGTAGACGACCTCTGTAACCCTCTCGCTGGCAACATCGTCCGCAGAGAGTGGGCCGACGGAGCCGGCTGGGTTAAAAAGCTTGTCGCGGGGCTCGTGATGCACTCAGACATATGCCCTGCGACCGTTGAATGAAGACGTCTTCTGCCCGCGAATCCGTCGGCGGTCGGTCTCCTCCACGACCGTCTTGAAACCGCCCCCGCCCCAGATGCTCTCGCGCGTCTCGCGCTCGGCAGCGCGCGCTGCCAGGCGTCTGAGTCCTTGGCGAGACAGTGGATCGCTGACTCGCGAGGCTTCATGCGCCGATCGTAGTGCTAGGGGCCCCTGTCGTAGATCGCCTTCAAGGCGCAGCCCGCGCACCTCCCGAACGTCACCCGTTCCTGGTCGCATGGCACGCCCGTGCTGACGAGGCCCCCGACCGAGGGCCTCGCCCAGCGCATCTGGCAGTCGTCGCGCGTCCACCAGAAGGTCCTGGCGTTGCCCCGGCGGCGCGTGGACTTCTCGGGATGCGTGCGCATGGCCAGCTCGGTCTTCTCGGCGCCCATGCCGTCTGGCCCCAGCCTCTTGCCCACCGCGAACCACTCCCCGCTGGGGGCCTTCAGAACTCGAGAATGGTCGGGCGTCGCGGGCCGATGCGTCGACGGGGCCGCATCTTGTCGGCGCCCCCGAGCAGATTATTGCGCGCGTTCGCGCCGATGCGGGCCGCCGCGCGGCGCCTCATGGCCGCGCGGTCCAGAATCGGGAATAGCTCCAAGCACGATTTTCTCGATTTCCAGGTCCGCTTCTCTGTGGTCATCGTTGAATGACTGGACCTGCCGGTGCTCGGAGGTTCCAGCTGCGGCCCCTGCTCAATGAGGATGCGCCCCGCGCGGTTCAACATCGCGCGAGACGTCGGAAGAGGAGGCAGTTGGCAGAGAAAGATTACTTTGAGCCGAGGGTGCCTGCGGATCCACGAAAAAACGGCATCCTCAGGCTCGGCGACCTGGTGGCGCCCCTGAGCCTTCACATAGACTGTTCTAAATTTCTCATTTCTCTGCCAACCTTCATCGGGACAGTCATAAAGATTGATCGCAATGTGTTTGCCTGCCCCTACCTCGCTCGCCGTCGACTGGCCGCCGTTGAGTGCATCCCAGGTGATGACGCCACCGGGCAAGTCAAGCACCATGCCGAGCCGTCTGTGCATCTCCACTGGGAACAGCAAGGCACGTCCCCATGGCGCCCAGTTCGACATCCGGCATGCGCACTGGCTTCAAACCGAAGGTATCTCCAAGATAACTCACCATTATATCAAACTGATCTTTGCCACGGACTCCATGCTGAACTCCAGCATCCACCAAACCGAAACCTATCTGAGCCTGAAGGTCCAACGAAATCCTGCTCGCCAATATCAGTAGTGGCAAAGATAGGAAAGGTACAATAACGGACTCCAGACTGGATCGCGGGTTCCCGTTGACAAACGGCATGCAGCGCGTCGCGCCCAGTTCGCCCCCCTCGACGCCGCCCCTTTCGGGGCCCATTGGACTGACCTTTTGTTTTGTGTTGGGGGCTCTTTGAAAAGTCCTCGCCCCAGCTTCCGTTTGCGCAGATCTTGTCGCACCTAACTGTAGTTGGCGTGGATGGCGGCAGCCTCGTCTTCATCTAGAATCGCATTCTCGGGCGTGTCCCCAGCTACGAAGAATGCGATGTCGTCCCCCGTGTACTTGGGAGCCTCAGTCCAGATCTCGCTCTCCTCATAGAACTCGGGCAAGGAAAACGCATGCTGCCCCATGAGAATCCCCTGGGAGTCATCGCGACCCAGAACTCATACCATGGATGCGACGGCCGTCTTTGCCGGAAGGTAGTGGTCGTTCAAGCTTCCGAAGCTTCTCGCGCGCCAAGCCAAAATCATGCGACCCCTCGGTCCAGTGCTCAACCGCATCCCGCGCAGCTGCACGGAGCTTGGATTCTCTACGAAGCATGTACCCTGTGAAGTCCTCTGGTACGATGACACGCTTCTCAAGTTCTCGGAAGAGCACGCGCTTGCGCGCAATATAGTTCACCAGGGAGTCATCCCGCTTGCGCCTGGTGTCGCCCGAGTAGAAAAGCTTGTCAGAAGCCTTCGGCAGCCTGCGGTCCTGGTATTCGGCAAAAGCCTTCTTAATCGTCTTGACCACAACCTGCCCGCTATCCTCCGAAGACAACTGGCCTCAGGTGAGTTCATTGATCATGATATTGAGATCATCCTTGGCGCAGCAGTAGATGAGGCATCCGCGATGTGATTTCAGGCTTCTGGATATTAGGGGCTTCCGAATGTCCAGGAATTTGTCCCCTTTGGCGACCAGAAGATCTAGCAGTGGTATCTCTCCAGTACGTCGGAGCAAAAGGAGTAAAGGGCATGGCCTGTCCTCGCAGAGGCGTGTTCTGCCGATATGGTGCAGCCGGCGAACCACGGCCCCGCGCGTTCCAACCTGTTGGGGATGATTGCGTATTGGGCTGCGTCAACGTCCATGGTTTTGAGAACCAGCGGGCCCAGTCTTGATCTGACCAGCACACGTCGCCATCACCTTCCCAAGGAACGTTTTCTCGTCCTCCGCCACCTGCCCAAGAATCCTGCCCTGGCTGCAGCCAAGGATCTACTGGAAGCTCATATTTTTCAGGCTGAGCGTCGTCTGGAAAATCCATGGCGGCGCTCGGTGTAAGAGGGTGGGAAGCGGGACGAACGGGAAAACGGTATGGAATGTGCCACCCGGAAATCGAGTGACACGGGAGTCGGCCTGACTCCCTTCGTGGATCTCAACCACAAGCGCCGCTGCCATTGTGGAATGTACGGGAACAGCTCTATGGAATACACGGAGACACGAAGTACAAGTAGGGGGTCCCGTGCTATGAGAGAGCACGTTCTTTTTCCTTTTGCAGGGGCCAGGGCGCGACCGTCGCCTGCGCGCCAGGTGACTCAAGGGCCCTTGTGAGCCACAACGGCGGCACACAAGGGAGCACGGAGAGAGGCGCAGGAAGAGGAGAGGCCGACACGGGCACGACAGCAACAAGGCATCAGGAACCAGGAGGAGGACGAGGAGGAGGAGGAGGAGGAGGAGGAGGTTGCAACAAACTCGCTCTCCATGTCTGGTCAAGGTCCAAAAAAGAGGGGGAGGGGGAGGAGCGCACGTCAGCTGGGGGAGGGGTGAGGGGGCGCGCCACCCTCCCGCTCCAACAGACAGCACCGACGGCGGCGTGCCTCGCGCGCAGTGCAGGAATTGCAGCTGCGGCCAAGACGGATCATACGGTACGAGACCTATGTTGCATCACAGCAGCAATTCGGCCCCTGACTTTCGTCATGGGTTCGGTTTACTGGAGTGATGAATTTCGGTGTGTTTACGTGGGGAAAAAAACATCACTTCACTAATCTGGGGCCCCTGGGGCCTCAATGGGCCCTGGGGTCCAAAATTAGTGACGTGATGGTTTTCGGACCTCGGATACGGATGCACGATGCCAGTCGGTCGGAAGAAATAGGTAGAAGTATGAAATAGGAAGGCGCTGAAAGTAGATTGGGCTTCCGCCCACCCCCTGAGGACGAGGGCAGGAGGGAATGCCGCTCGACTCCTGAGGTGGGAAGGCGCCTAAAAGTAAATTGGGGCTTGGGCATCCAAACAGACCTACTTTCAACGACCGACGGATAAGGGTGCAAGGGCCTTGGAAGGCCATGCCGACACCTTTCGAGCGAGGGGCGGCCAACGAAAGTGACCAAGGATGGGTCGAAGGGAAAGGATGCAAGGGTACCCCTGGGAAGGTGACCCATTCTTGCTATCGATTTCGACTGTACCATGTAACATGTAGGCTGTGCTGAAGCTCCGAACCGAACTGCTGGTAGAACTGGAAAGCGACAACAGTACAATAATGAGCACGCTCTGATGAGATAGGGTCGCACTGTAAAGCTACATTATACGCAGAATAGATGGCAAGCGCTAAACGGATGATCGGAGGAGAAGAGGAGGGCGACGACCACGACGACGACGACGACGACGACGACGAGGCAAAGGAGGCCGGCGGTTGGCGGCGGAGACTGAGGGGGGCCTTCTGAGAGGCCGCGCTCACGAGAAAAGCACCCCGTGCGACGTGCCATGTTGGGCCTCCCTTTTTGACACCGGTCCGACGCGGCACGGTGCAAGGTTGCTCGGCCCTGTTGGGCCGCGAAACCATGCGCCGTACCGTTCCCGGGTCCAGGGTCGACGCCGCCCTGGGAGACGCTAGAGCGGCACGGTGCGCGCAAATCGTCCCCGGAGTGGATGGAAGTGCCCAGGCCCTTGGACGAAGGCCTCCCTGGTCCCACGCGCAAGACTGACCTATGGGTAAGGGCCACCCCTGGTGCACGGCTTCACTGAAGGGGCCCTGGGACACACCAGCAAATTTACACACAAATAACATGATTCCCCATATTGTCCCATATTTTCTGGGGTTTTGTCTTCCCTCCCACTTCCCATGTTTTCCTGGGAATCGACGATTGATTGTGTTTGTGTGTTCTTTCTCCTCCTGATTCACGTGCCGCGGGGGTGTGTGGGGGGGGGGGGGGGGGGGCAAACTCCAAGCGCGCAGGCCAGGGCTGTATGGGGACCTCTGCGGGCCCGCACCAAAGGCAACCGCGGCGAAGAGCCACTCTCACGCACAGCCAAGCCCTTCTCCCCGCCCGACCCCATCTTGCGCGCCGCCGCGGCTGGGGAGTGGCGCTGCTCGCGCCCGCGCCGCCACGACCGCCCCGAAGAGGGCGTCGCGGAACGAGGCCACGCGCTCGTGCCACTCGCCGGCGACCGCACCGCCCACGCGGTCCTCGGCGAGCCCCTCGAGGTGGCAGTAGTCCATGTAGCGCGATGGGCCCGCGCCCCCGGGGCCGCCCCGCAGCAGGCAGCCCAGGAAGTCGTGCACGCCCGTCTCCTCCGTGATCGAGCACTCCGTCTCCCACGGCACGCGCGGAAGAGGCAAGAGCTGCACGCGCCCACAGTTTCAGAGGTCCGCGCAGAGCTCCCGTGTGGGCGCTGGGGCCCCCCTCCCCACAGCTCGCGTGCCTCCTGCCCTGGAGGGGCGTGGGGGGAGGGAATCTAGAGCTGGCCCAAGATATCCGCGCATACCTCCGAAAATTAATATGCGTGCCTCATGCCGTGCTCTTGCGCCTTCCGATGTAGCACTCCTTCCACCCCGTGGCCCCGGCCCTCTGCGGGTAGGCCCGCTCCTCGTAGAGAAACAGACAGCGGCTCCGACAGAACCAGCGCGGATCTCTTGGGTCAGCGCGGTGCCCCTCTTTCCGGCGCGCAGAGCGCGCCAGTGGCGACGCCAGAGGCGCCGCCAGGAGGGTCCAGCGCCGATCCAAAAGAAAATCCGCGCGGGCCTCCGGAACTTTTCGTCACCAAGCAGCGCTTGCGCTTACGTATGGCGGCCCTTGCGTGGACGACTCACTACTCGGAGAAAAAGTGGATGGGTCTGCCGACGATTCGCCACTCTGCCGCCCGTTGCTGCCGGCCGCCGCCTGCGGGGGTGTGCAGAAGATTTGCCACGTTGCCGCCCGTTGCCGCCCGTTGCCGCCTGCGGGGGTACGCCACGGACTCGCCCGCTGCGGGGGTACGTCACGGACCTGTGGGGGCATACCGAAGCTTCGCCACGATGACGCCCGCTGCGCCGGTTGCCGCCCGCGGCCGCCTCGATGCCGCGTCGCAGCCGCCCGTTGCCGCCTGTGGGGATATGCCACGGACTCGCCACGTTGCCGCGTCGCTGCCGCCGGTTGCCGCCTGCGGGGGTGTGCCACGGACTCGCCACGTTGCCGCCCGCTGCCGCCTCGTCGTGCGCCGTGGATCTGCCGAGGATGTGCCGCATTGCTGCCTGTTGCCGCCTGTAGGGGTCTGCCGAGGCTTCACCACGCTGCCGCCCGCTGCCGCCCCGTTGCCGCGTCAATGCAGCCTCGTGTGCCGAGGATTCGCCACGTTGGCGCCCGCGGCCGCCGTAGCTTACGCCACATATGTAGCACCGCATGGCATACGCAACATAGCTGGCACCAAATAGCTTGCGCACCGAATAGTGACGGACACCGCACATCATAAACTACGTAGGCTGCACCGCGCAGATTGCACCATATAAAACACTTGCACCACATAACCCGCATATACACAGTGCAATGACTTACTGCTTGGGCACCCCGCTGGCAAACATGCTCCTACAACCTGCGCTCTCCCTCGAAAGAAGACCCTGCGCCTCCAGCGGGCGGCGCGCCGAGGGGGGAGTGAAGGTGGGCATGAGGCGGCTGGGCTTCTCTGAGGCCCTTTGGCCTCCCGAGAAGCCCTCCGTGGCGTCGGAGAGGGCTGCGAAAAGCGGAGAGGTTATACTACTGCGGCCTTTTCTTCTCCCATCCTTGGCCCTCGCCCCCGCGGGGATCAGCTCCAGCAGCCGCCGCACCCACCCCTCGGGGGCAGTGTAAAGGAGGGGGCGAGGTATCGACCTGGAACCGGCGATGCATGAGCGGCGAAAAGAAGCAGATCTTACGCGAAATGGCATAGCGACCTTACGCGGTGGCTCACGCGGGCCGCTAGCGCGGCGCGCCCCATCGGAGATGAAGGCGCTTGCGCACGACATTGCGCAGGCAGCTTACGCGCTAACGTCGGCGCAGACGATCCCGTTTCCCTCAGCCGCCCACATGTCGGGTTTGAACATTTCCAGTATTCAAAACAAATTGTCATTTCTTGGGGGTGTTTACTTCCGCCGGCTTCCGCCGGCGGAGCCGCCCTCATTTTACTTCGGCCGCCTTCAGCCGACCTTCCGCCGCCTTCGACCGAGGAATAGATGTCAACTCCTCCGATCCTCGAAGGCGACATCTTGTCTGAAACGCCCCACATCGCCGACAGGCCGACGATAGCGAATCCGCGCGTCCCTGAGCGGGGTGGGATATCGGGCCTACATCAACAATGAATAAATGATTTGGGGTCGATGCATCCCCCCCTGAGCCTATCTCAGCCCCCCGACGTCACTAGTCGTCTTCGACGTGGAACGCCAAAAAGGTCCAGACCCCTTCCCAGGGACAAGTTTTTCCTCTCGAGCCGTTATGCGACGGCTCAGGGCCTGGCGACGGACACCGGAAGCCGAAAATGTCCAAACACATGCCGTCGCGACTCGTTCACGTCCTCCTCTTCCTCCTCTTCCTCCTCCTCCTCCTCCTCTTCCTTCTCCCTCCTACTCCTCCTCCTCCTCTTCTTCTTCTCCCTCCTCCTAAAACTCCTCCTCCTCCTCCTCCTCCTCCTCCTCCTCCTCCACCTCCTCCTCTCCTCCCCCTCCCCCTCCCTCCTCCGCCTCCTCCCCTCTCCCATCCCCCCCGAACGTTGCCCCTGAATTAGCGGCGCCCACAAAGAGGCAGCCCTGTGCTCTTCCGAGAAGGCCTCTAAGAAGCCAGGGGGTTCTGAGAAGCCCTCTGCCTGCCTTCTCAGAAGCCGCTCGAGCATCTTAGAAGGCACTCCCCTTTGAGGCGGCCAGGGGGTTCTGAACTAGATGAAGGCAAACTCTTCAAAATCGTTCCCCGGACCACTCCCGGGATCCATCGTGCAGCTTTTCACCCCGGGTCCTTTTTTTGACGGTCTCGAAAAGGCGCCCAGCGAAAACCAAAAAAATAGCCTGGCGAAGGACCCAACCATATGCAGTTGTGAGTACCGTCGTTGTGAGTATCGCAATCGGTGGAGATCCCTGTGGGCCGCGAAAGGCTGTCCTGGGTAGGGGAGACGCATGTGAGTGCAGCAACTGTTGCCTGTGTTGGAGCTCCCTATGGGGCCACGAAACGCTGTCCTGGGTGGGCGGAGAGGCATGCGAACTGCGGCACTGGGGCTTTCGGTTGAGCTCCCTGTGGAGCAACGAAACGCTGTCCTGGATGAGGGAAACGCATGCGAATGCAGCTGTGGCCTTCGGTGGAGCTCCATATGGGGCCACGAAGCGCTGTCCTGGATTGGGGAGACGCATGCGAACTGCGCCACTGGGACTTCGGTGGAGCTCCTTATGGGGCTACGAAAGGTTGGCCTGGGTGGGGGAGACGCATGCGAACTGCGCCACTGGGGCCTTCGGTGGAGCTCCCTATGGGGCCACGGAGAGCTGTCTGTCCTGGGTAGGGGAGACGCATGCGAACTGCGCCAGTGGGACCCTCGGTGGAGCTCCATATGGGGCCACGAAACGTTGTCCTGGGTGGGGGAAACGCATGCGAACTGCGCCACTGGGACCCTCGGTGGAGCTCCATATGGGGCCACGAAACGTTGTCCTGGGTGGGGGAGACGCATGCGAACTGCGCCACTGGGACCCTCGGTGGAGCTTCCTATGGGGCCACGAAGCGCTGTCCTGGGTGGAGGAGACGCATGCGAACTGCGCCAATGGGGCATTCGGTGGGGCTCCCTATGGGGCCACGAAACGCCGTCCTGGATTGGGGGAGACGCATGCGAACTGCGCCACTGGGACCTCGGTGGAGCTCCCTATGGGGCCACGAAACGCTGTCCTGGGTGGGGGAGACGCATGCGAACTGCGCCAATGGGGCCTTCGGTGGGGCTCCCTTTGGGGCCACGAAGCGCTGTCCTGGATGGGGGAGACGCATGCGAGCTGCGCCACTGGGGCCCTCGGTGGAGCTCCCTATGGGGCCACGAAAAAGCTGTCCTGGGTGGGGGAGACGCATGCGAACTGCGCCACTGGGGCCTTCGGTGGAGCTTTCCATGGGGCCACGAGACGTTTTCCTGGGTGGGGGAGACGCAGGCGAACTGCGCAATTGGGACCCTCGGTGGAGCTCCATATGGGGCCACGAAACGCTGTCCTGGGTGGGGGAGACGCATGCGAACTGCGCCAATGGGGCCTTCGGTGGAGCTCCCTATGGGGCCACGAAAAGACTGTCCTGGGTGGGGGAGACGCATGCGAACTGCCCCACTGGGCCCTTAGGTGGAGCCTTCTATGGGGCTACGAAACGTGCGAGGGGTGCGCCGCGAGCAGAGGCAACGAGGGAGAGGAGGGCGGGGGGAGGAGGCAGCGGAAGGGGGAGGAAGGAAGGAGACGCGGGGCACCGTCTCTTCAAAACGAGGACCCAACACCACAGGATGGTTGGGAACAATAAAAACCTCCTCGAACCCTGAACCTCGATCCAATGCTGGGCCACCTCAGACCCCCAGCCGGCTCCAACCCCTCCCAACGACCCTCGCAGGGCGCGCCTTCGGCGCCTGGGGGGGAGCGGCGAAAGCGCCGCAAGGGGTGGGTGGCGAGGAACCGCTGGCGCCGCCAGCCGGACCGCCCGCGGAAGCTCGAGGGTCTCATCTTTGACTGTGTGGACTTTGGGTTGTGGCTCAGCCGGCTCCAGGCCCCCCTCGCGTCACCCACTCGCCATCGCTCGGACGTCCATTCCCTGTGTTTACCTAACAGCGAAGACTGATAGGTTTCTAGTTGACTCAAAAGAGCTCACAGATCACTCCACAGGGGGGTCCGGGCAGGTGTTGGGGAGTTGCCGGGCGGCAGGGTGCCGGGCTCGTTTTTCACCAACAGTCACACACTTCGTGCTCTTCGACTTCCCAGAACTCCATTCCCAGGCCACATTCTGAATACCCGGATGCAACAGTCACACACTTCGTGCTCTTCGAGATCCCAGAACGCCATTCCCGGGCCACATTTAGAATAACCGGATGCAACAGTCACACACTTCGTGCTCTTCGAGTTCCCAGAA